TACCCTCTGCTATGTCTCAACAATAAGATAATATACGAATAATGTACGTAAATGAGATTTAATTGTGGATACTACGGTTGTAATGGATTTGGTTCTATTCTATTCTACAAGAGATTTTATACACAGATGAGAGATATGTATGCGGAAATGTGATCGAAGATATACACGTATGTGCTCTCGATGTTGTAACCTATATTACTGCGCTATGCGAGCTTGTTGTGTTAACATTCTTGCGAATGAGGCGTTTCCATTTATGTGCAAATGATATATACATATATAAATATACGTACTTGCTTTAACACTACAGGCTCGTTGTAGTAAGAGAATAAACATAAATAAATGAAGACGAAGAAGAAAAATACACGCCGGCGCGCGTTATCTTAGGATGTATATGATAGTGCTATTTTAAAAATAATAGATTGCTACGAGAAAATCTGGATACTTCTGAGTGTACTACTTTTATATCTGTTGTGCCTAGATGCCTGTGGAAAAAAAAAGAATATGCCTCCATGTGGGGCCTATACATATATTATGAACAGCAAGATTAAGCAGCGAGTTTACATGTCGCTTTGCCAAATATAATCGATATTACAGAATTTCAGTAACGCTTGCATAACATGTTGTGTTGTTAACTCATTGATCTTGAGATTAATTGAAAGATTATACTGTTGCGGCCCAGAGATAGAAGAGAGAAGAATAAAAGAAGAGAAGAAGAAGGAAGGTTAAAATACAATTTAGTCCTTGCGCTGCTGGCAGGTTGTTACGTTAATAATCGAGGATACCTTGTTGAACATAGATAAGATAAGCACTTATATTAAATATTAGAAATTAAAACTACGAAGATAGATTTCTAAAATTATTTACTTATTAATTATTCCTATTCAAAAGAGAGGAATGGCCATTTCAGCTAATTGAGCATTAATTAGTGATATAAATATCATTATAATTATTATATATAGTTATTGTATTATTTTTATATAGTAACGAATAATGACGAAAATAGGGTAATAGTAATAATGTAGTAGCTGGTACATGTGGCAAAATGCCTTGAATTCGTTTAGTCTATCCGAAAATCTACGTTTTTCCCAAATTAGATCGATAATAAATAAAGAAAAATATATCGTCACGTGTCATGAGAGAGAGAGAGAGAGAGAGAGAGAGAGAGAGAGAGAGAGAGAGAGAGAGGATGAGAATTCTTATATGCCGCATGCAGTAACTTGAAAAGATATCAAATCAGATAGTCTTCGCGAATGTGAATGTGTACGCCTGCAAAAGCTTAAATCGAATTATAGAGGACCGGACAAGAAAAAAATAATCGTAATAATAATATTACTATTAATAATAATAACGCTGTTATTAAGAGAATATAGAATTGCCGGATCATTTAAAAAAAAATGTAATAAAGACGTTAAATCTTGCATGATATCGTGAGAGTTTTTTCATACGTATTATGCGTAAAGCATTATAGAAGCATTCGCAATTAAACACTAAATTATACCGATCTCGATCTGATAGAGATTTTTAAACAAGATACGCGAATCTTTTTTTTCTTGCGCGTCTGCAGTGGATATTATTATGTGATATTATATGTTACGTCGAAATTATACAGATTTTAATCTTTAAATTCGAGTCAGGAGTAATTGGGGGAAATCGGAGTCAGGAGTATCTCGACTGAACGTTAATATAGGATTAAAAAAAGTTCTTCTGTTCGTGATTTTCGAGATTGAGCGCATTCAAGAGTTCTCGATTGAAATCCACTTATATGTGAGACCTCGTGCGCAGTTTGCATTTCATGTACCTGCATATATCGTGTAAATAATACAATTATTTTTAAACGCGCATTTTTCATTTTCAGTTCCAAAGACACGCTCGTCTCGATGAGCGTCGTGTTAGAAAGATATAACGCATTCTTTCATTATTTTATTTTTCTTTTATTTTCTCTAGATATACGGAATTTCTGTAACGTTTACGAATTTGTCAACAAAAATTTAGAGGAGAAATTTATCATTTTATTTTTTAACTATACGTAGATATTATTTAATTTTTTCTAGCGAATTTACAATTGTACGTATATGTAATCACTTTTGACAGATGCGCGCAATACGTATATACATGAAACTCTAAAAGAGAACCCAGATAATATCAAGTTCAAAATCAAAGAAAAACTTAAGTCTTAAAGACATCTTTATGAGAACCGTCTTAAACGATCCCTAACAGTTCAGTATTAATATATAATTATTTTGATGCCCCTCTTAAACGATTCAAAACAATCTGATAGCCGAACATAGATAATCTCCAAATAATCAGTAAAAGAATCATAAAAGTCTCAAAGACATTTTTGTAAGAACCATCTTAAGTGGCCTCTAGACATAATACTATACAATATCAAATATTGTGCAATAATATATTGATCGTCTAAAAGCCACTTTAAAGACGTCTTATGATTTTAAACATTGTTATCTGGGAAAGATCTCTATGTAAATGCATACACAGTGGCAATATTGTAAATGTCGCAATTTGAATTCAGAGGGATGGAGTAAAGGGAAATTAGTATCACACATAGAGAAGAGATATCAGTAACAGATAAATTTTTTACAGACTTAATTTCACTGAAGACATTATGAGACATCTCGGTTGTAACAGAGATAACACATTTGATATTTAAATTAATTTAAACTATCCTTTTGTCGAGAGAGAACATTATATGGAGCGCATCACGAATCCACAAGAGAGAAAATTCTCTGCTCTCTGTGGATATGAGCAATTTCGTTACGTCCGTTCTATTTGGATATCGTTCGAGCGATCGAATATTGAATTGATAATATTTCGTACACGTATCAGCAATTTGTTAAAAACATAGTTTTATAGTAAATAAAGAGGATTACGAGAAAAGAGCAGAAGCATTTTTACGTCGAGAAACGTTCTTTGTATGAATTTATGAAACATTCGATATCGAATAGCTGCAAAAGACCATTAAAAACAAAATTTTATTCTTAAATGTATTATAATATTTCCTACGCGATATGTAAATGGCTGACAATTTTTATAACATTTATGGAAAACAAAAAGGAAGTTAGAAAAAAATTCTAATAATTTTTATCGCTTTAGCAATAAGTTTGTTCTTTGCAACTGTAGTTCTTGCACGGCTTAACTTTCCTCTTTTTCCCTCCACATTGAAGAAAAAAAACGAGAAAAGATCAACAATACAAGAAGTTTAACTAAAAAGGACAAGTCTGATATCTCAGATCTGATTCCATCATGTAAGATTAACTTCAGTCTCGATTCAATTTACTGTTTATGTTTTTCTAATTCTAAGAATTAAAAAAGATAAACCGAGATTCAAGCTAATCTTACATTAGTGAAACCGGGTCTTAATTGATTAAAAAGGTGTTTACACAAAATTAATGTGTAAGAGCTAAGCACAAAGATACAATGGAAATATTTCTATATTTCGAAGATACAAATAATGTGTCTTCATATGCTTAATATAAAGTTGTTAAACGTTTGTGGGCGAATTACTATTTTTATAATAATCTCTCCATATTTATTTTTATTGTGTTTACGAAATGTTATATGAAAAATTAAAACATTAAAAAAAGATCGGGCAGATATTACATATACGAGGGCTGTCTGAAAAGTTTCCGACCTAACGAAGATAGAAGACATTTTTTCCGAATTTTTTTTTTTTATTTTTCAACATAGTTTCCTTGTAACTCTACACACTTCTCCCAGCGATGCTCCCATCTCTGTAACCCGTCCAAATAGTACTCGGCGTTTTTCTCTGCAAAATAATTGTTCACGAAGGTGATTGCCTCTTCATTTGACGAAAATCTCTGTCCTCCGAGCGCAATTTTTAGACGAGGGAACAAAAAGAAGTCACTTGGGGCTAGATCTGGTGAGTAAGGCGGATGGTCAAGCAGTTCAAACCGTAATTCGTGGATTTTCGCCATGGCAACCGCTGAGGTGTGAAACGGTGCGTTGTCTTGGTGAAACAGGATTTTCTTTTTCTGCAAATGTGGTCGTTTTTCCGCAAGTTCTGCCTTCAGCTTGTCAAGTAATGATGCGTAGTATGCTCCTGTAATGGTTTTTCCTTTTTGAAGATAATCGATGAAAATAACTCCATGACTATCCCAAAAAACAGTCGCCATCACTTTCCCAGCCGAAAAAGCAGTTTTTGCTTTTTTTGGAGCCGGTTCCCCCTTTGCAATCCACTGTTTGGACTGTATTTTTGTTTCGGGCGTATAATGGTGTATCCAAGTTTCATCTACAATAATTAATCGGCGCCAAAACTCGGATTTATTGCGCCTAAACTGCGCCAACAGAGCGTTAGAAATGTTCATTCGAACACGTTTTTGGTCTAACGTGAGCAAACGCGGCACCCAACGCGCGGACAGCTTTGTCATGCCTAAATGTTCATTTAATATGTGACAAACACGTTCTTTTGACATTTTCATAACCTCTGCTATCTCTCTCACTTTAATTCGGCGGTCGTCTAGCACCATTTGGTGAACTTTGGCGATGTTTTCGTCGGCAGTTGCAGTTTTTGGACGTCCCGAACGTTCATCGTCTCCCAAGCTCTTACGGCCACGTTTAAATTCAGCTGCCCAAAATTTCACTGTGGTAAATGATGGTACAGAGTCCCCGTACACAAAATCCAACTCATCTTTGATTTGCGTAGGCGTATTGCCTTTCAAAAACAGATATTTAATGACAGCTCGATACTCGATTTTCTCCATTTTCACAAAATGACTCACATCAACTCACTCAAACGACTGCTACATAACAACTGCGCGTCCAAAATGGCTGAAACTGTGGTGAATAACTGTCAACAGATGAACAACGAAATTCACTAGCTTTACAGCGCTGCCATCTTCACGCTGAGGTCGGAAACTTTTCAGACCACCCTCGTAAGAAGAAAGCTCGATCTCGCCGAGGATTTTTCTCAAGGGAAATCCTATATTATTCTGAAGACAGAGAGAGAGAGAGAGAGAACGGAGTTTATTGACAGTGTCAATAAACATCATTGTGTTACCGGACACGTATTGAATTCATTATGTTGACATACATGAATATGAGCTATTGAGGATACGCCACGTCATATTATTAATTGTCGTGATGTTTATCTCTACCGCGTTCTTTCGCGAATTGAGCGTAGAACAGTGCGGATCTAGAATGAACCACTATTATGGGCAGCAAGATCTTGCCATGCTTCGTGTCCGGAACTGTCATCAAGGGTTTCGGCAGAGGTTCGAAGGCGCTTGGCATTCCGACAGGTATCACTTCATCCTCCGAACACTTGTTTAATATGTGCCATTCGACCAACAATCTGATTTACGTAACAGCAGAACGCCGAGTATCGATTGTCACATGTCAATATTGACAATAACGTTCGACGTTTTCCTCTGTCATTTAAAGATAACAGAAATTTGCTGTCATAAGCACGGTTTTTTTATTCCTCTTCCTCCGTTTAGGTTAAAATTAAAATCTACGTCATGTATGTAGCAGTTCCAAACACATTTTGCTTTAGGTTAGGATTCTTTTTTCATTTCGAATCGATAGATATTTGTTTTAAATGTGCGCCTCCCGCATTTTATGTTCTCCGTTTTCTCACCTCGAGACCCAAGTTATAGCTCCGTGATATTTTCTAAGGAATAAAATAAGTAGAGAAATTATCTTGATTTGCTAAAGTGATTGATACATTTGGCGAGTAATTGTCTCAATGATATTTAATGTCTGTTTCTACCAGTGTAGTTTAATTTTAATCTCGATTCAACTAACTCTTCATCTTTTTCTAGTTCTAAAAATTTAAAAATGGTGAAGAGTAAGTTAAACCGAGATTGAAGTTAATCTACATTAGGCAGCAGACCCACTTATCTCGAGCGATAAACGGGAACTGAAAATTTACGCTCGAGACGTATTTTTGATTTTAGAGGAAGGCAGATAATTAACTTTCGATAAGCAGATTTAAAGCGCACATTATTTTATTCACAATATATGTATACATATATGACATTTAGTTTTCCCATTTTTAAGTTTATTGATTTTTTTGATTATAATAAAAAAATCGTAAAACTGCTATTTTATCAAAATGATAACGATAACGTTATTTGCTGCGTAAAAGGAAGTTGTGTTAGAATAAACTCGTACAAGTCGTAATGTCTGTGAAACGTAGTATTGATAAGAAAAAACTGTTTTGATATTGTATTGTTTATAACAATGCGCCCTAGAAAGTTAAAATGATAATCAATAATGGGACACGCCTTAATTATGTTAAATAATAGCGATCGATGCGATTGTGACAAATAAAAATTTTATTACATTTTCTCTGAGGAGAGGTACGAGTTGAATGAGATTCGAGGCATTGTGAGAAAATGAATTTATTTAAATAGAGATATTTCTCTTCAAAAGAGAAGGAAACATTTAAAAAGCTTTTTAAAATTATAAAAAAGTCGTAAACAAATTGCGAGCTACAGATTTATGCATTAGGAAATTGAGAAAGAGAAGGCTTTTAGAACATTTTAAAAATACCAAAAAAATCTTAAAATCCAGTGGACGCCGCGAATTTGATGAAATTCCAATTCATTTAATCAGTGATGAATTCATCAAGCGATCTTTTAATGTAAAATAATTAATTTCTCGTCATTTAATTAATTTCACGTCTTTTATTAGAAAAGAAATATTAGGATAAGGACAGCGATTATGTACTTCGAATATTTTATAAGCAATTCGGCCGGTTAAATTAATCTAAGTTAATCCGAGTTTGAAGTTATCATAAAATAAATATTGTAGCACGTAATACTACGTGTTTAAACTTCGTTTGAAACGCGAAATGTGTAGAAAATGTATTTTTTGAAATGTTTAACATTTTTTTGGAAACTTAAATTCTCTTTTTGGGACTTTAAATTCTCTTACATCAGCAGTTTTCATATTATTTAATTTGTATTTAACTTTATGATCAGCATATAATCGGTTTTACGCATATTTTATAATATATAATTTTTATCTTTTTCTTTTAAACATCAAAAGTGCAAAATTACTCCACATCTATTACGATGCCACATTTGATCGGAATATTTATTTCTTAATATTTATAGTTAAAATCTGTATTTGAGTTTAATATCGAACAGAACATTAATATAGAACAAATTTTGAAGAAAATTCATGTTTTTTTCTTTTATAAAAATCAGCTAATCTCCCAGAATCCGTGATCGATGCTTTGCCGAAGGATCTAAGTACTGGAATTTATTATGGTTGGGCATCCTTGCATGGAAAAGTTTATAAAATGGTCGTAAGCATAGGATGGAATCCGTATTACAAGAATGAAAAAAAGTCAATGGTATGAAAAATAATTTCGAGATATAAAAGACTTCTTGCTAATTAAATCTAAGATGGTTCAAAGTTATCTTAATATAAATTATATTATAATTATCACTATTTAAACAATTATAAAATATTTTATATTTAAAAAATATCTTAGTGTGTTAGGTAAATACAAATCATAATTATTTTGCAGGAAGTTCACCTATTACACAAATTCCAAAGAGATTTATACGGTGAGGAGCTCAAGATTATAATTGGCGGATATATAAGACCAGAAAAAGATTTCTCTTCTTTAGGTAATGGATCATAATAATGACATGAAATTTATGTAAATCGTAAAGGGATTACTATTCTTTCAAAGTAATTCAAATAGCTACTACTTAAAAATTGCTGTTACTAATACTTTAGAGGATAATTTTATATTACTTTTTATTGCAGACGAACTCATCACAGAGATAAAGAATGATATTGCAATCGCAGAGCGTCAATTGGAAGAACCAGTTGTAAATAAGCTGAAAAATGACGACTTTTTAATGATTAATAAAGCATATCCATAATAAGAAAAATGTAAACCTTTATCTGATAAAGAAAATATTTTTGTTACTTCTAGAGTTGCATATTTAATAACCCTCCGCTGGCAAAATGGAATTTTATCTTTCATCAGCATTCTGGATCCCTGAATTTTTGTATTGATGTAAATTTTTATATTGTTCCGGACTGTATACAAATCTGAAAAAATGCTAGTACTTGTCAAAGCTTAACAAAGTCCTCTTGCTCCGTTTGACTACGGCCTGGTTTAATAAAACATTTCTTGCGAGGATGATAAAACTATTAAGCAAGTTGAGGCAACTTGTCATGAATTCTTCGCGTTTAAAAAATCCGAAGATACAGAAATCAAATCTGGCACTTAACAGATTCATAGCGAATTACTGAACATGTCGTCTGTATTTTGAGGAATTGTCGTCATTTTTTAATAAATTCGTATATAAAAACCGAAGAATTATTCAGAATTTTGTTGACACAATTTAGTATATAAAATAATATAGAGAAAATGTGTGTGAAATAAGAAAATACTACTTCTACATAAAAATACAATCATTATTTTATTATCCTATTAATATTTTCAGCATTAAGTTATTTAGATGAATTTGGATCGACACTCTCCGCATCCGTTGTATTTGAAGAAGATGAAGGAACTGGTGGAAACCAATGTGTATTCGTCATCAACATTGGTGACCAAGCTGAATAAGAAGGCATGTACACATTGGGACGATAATCTATCCCTACGGACAAACACATAATATTGATTCGAAGAGAATTATAAGATATTGATTTTGTGTACTATTACTTTAGAACAGGCCTGTCCAATTTGAGCTCCGAAGCTCAAATTGGACAGGCTTGCTTTAGAAATTAGGCTTGGTACCTTGATAATATTGGTGTGTGCCATCCAAATTACTTGGATTACTATACTGTGGCAAACGTGGTCCGCTAAATGTTGGTCTGTAGCCTGCATATGGTCTGTTAGACATCGGATACATGTTTTGTGAACTTGATTGCCAATAAGCATTATCTTGATATGGATATTGTTGCCAAGCATTATATGAATATGTTTCATTCTGTGCAGAATTAAAATGACTACCACTACTCCAATTTTGCTGCTTCTGTTTATATCTTTGAGATTGGACTTTTTTATTTCTGTTCCATGGATGATTTGATTGCCAGCCCATTTCTGTGTTGCGAGAATCTAAAAATTATTAGTTGTTTGTAGCAACTGATACTAATTTTGAAATTAATATATTTACCCATCCGACGTTGGCGTTTCTGCGAATTCTGGCCGTTAGAATCTTTAGTACCTTTCTGCTTCAGATTTTGGTAATAAGCCTGTTCTTCCTCATCATCTGAAAATTCCGGTTGCTCATCGTCACCAATTGCATCGCAAGCTTTTATCCTGAAAGAAAACATTTATTTTAATTTATTTACTCATTTACACAATATTACAATCGCATGTAACATATGCTGTATTCATTAAAGTACCAACTTTGTCAACTCATGTAAGAAAACAAGAGACGTGTACTCCGAGTTCGGGCAATAATACACCTGCATACCCACTTTGACATCATTATCTTGTATATGTTTAGCATCATTGAAGCGAACGCAGTAATACGGTTCGTTCACGGAACCAAACACATCAAATATTTTACCGAGCGCTTTTGTTCCTTTGTTTACAAATAAAACTGTATCCAGATTGAGTGTAACTTCACCAGGATTTGGTTTTACAATTACTAACTGTTCTACAATCTTTTCAATCTGAAATGTTCAAATAATCGAGATTTGAGTATTTAAAAATTACTATTTGTTCTTACAGTATTAATTTATTTTACATCTTAGATATTCACAAAAGTGTATATATTCTTCTATATATATATGTACGTATATAATATATACATGATAAAAGTAAAATGCCTATTAATTATTATTATACATTCATAATGGCTAAATTATACTTTATCAACATATAATGTACGCATTTACATTCACAGAGACTTACATAGGCACTTTATTTGTATTAAATTTATTCTTGGAGTTAAAAAATTATTAATTTAATTTATTTTAATTTATATATATATATGTATATATATATATATAAAATTAGTTTATATTAATTATACCTTGCCTAATGGATTACATAAAACTTCAGGGACACTAATTGTTAAGTCTTCTATGGGTGGAAGATCATCTAATTCACTTTGTATGTGCTTTTGTTTCTTTGATACATTTACTTCCCTTTCTTTCTTTCTGAAAGTTAACATAATTCAAAAGTTTACACTCATATAAAAAGATATTAAATATATGTTATAGTTTCATTTTTATGAAAAGATAATAGTACCTGTTATTAATTTTTACATTATTATCTGGTTCACTGTCGCTGCTACTATCACTACTGCTGCTGCTGCTGCTACTGCTACTACTGCTGCTACTGCTGCTACTGGTGCTGCTATCAACACTACTATCAGAATCATCTTCGCTATCAATTTCGTCACATGATAACTGTTTTTCGAATGTACGATATTGCTGTAAATTTTGTATTTGTAACATGGTATGTTCATTTTCAGTTGTAGTATTTGTTCTTATCTCTTCTTCTACATCTGAATCTGTGTCTTCATATTCTGCAGCAATAATGCTAAGAGAAGACATTCCATTGTTTCCTGTTAAATAGATACAATTTTAAGAAATTATATATACAGGATACTGCAATATAAATATTTTTTGTAATTTCAAATGTACTTATAATATATAGTATATTTTTGTACATTATAAATAAAAGATATATATAAAATAGTGAGATACATAAAGTAAATATACATAAAAAATTTTTATTAATAAATCAATATACATTTGTACCTGTTTGTTTTTGTAGTGATAGATTGTTTACTTGCATCTTATTATTTTGAACGCTTAGTTCTGTAACTTGATTAATTACATGTTTATTTGCGTATTTATTTTGTATTATATTAGTATCATTTGAGATATCAGACTTTATAATTTCTGGAGATTTTTGTAAAGTTTCTTGTCTAACATCAGGTTCTACATTCTCACAAACAGATATATGATAGTGCTCATATGCAGATGTCGCATTTTTTTTTTTAATACATTGGATAATATTTTGCATATCAGCAGATACATCACAGATATAAATCACGTTTTCTATCTTACTTGCGTCTAATGTGGTCATTGCATTAAGTTTATCACAATCATTTTCTTCATGTATTTGCAGAATCTCAGTGACTACTTTTTCTAGCTTTTCATCAGAGATCATTTCTTCGTGTTCTTTAGAAGACTGTATGTCTAACTGTAATATCTCAGCTTCTTCTTTCGACGATTTTTCATCATGCACTAATTCTTGTGACGTTAATAATTCTATCTCTTTATGAAATATATTTTTATTTTCTTCTTCTGATGTTAACATGTTCAATAGTATCTCTTCATGAACAATTTTATTTTCATCTATATCCGTTGCTATTTCCATTTTAACACAAGCCACGTGAAACTCCACAAAACGTGTTACAAACTTCTATATATAATGATTGTAAGTCAACAGTATTGGTTATTTTGTATTCTACTCCTCATTAAATTTTATTTGTTCGCACAATTATAGCATTTAGGTAAATAAAAGTAATATTTAAGGAAAGAAAAGAAGAAAAATCTCACGTATTTTTTGATATTGTATTTACATATAATCACTTATCACATGCGCCATTGAATTATTTAGACATTTAGGGTATATCCACAGTCCATGCAGTCCACTCGACTTGCACAGAAAACATATTCCTACAGAAAATTATCCAATCACTTTTTCTATCAAGGACGTACGTAAAATACGATTGGATAATTTTCTTTATGCTAATTGGATAATTTTGTTTATAGGACTGTGCAAGTTGTGGATATGAAAAATACTACTCAAAAATATAAATGCTATCTAAAAATTTTTAAACTTAAAATAAGATAGATATGGATAGATACGTATTTGAACGAAAAAGAGAAAAAGTGGAGATAGGTTAGGTTAGGTTACAATTGAAATATAAAGTCAGTCTATATAACTAAACAACATTTATATGAAATCTGAATAACTAAAAAGGGACTATTAAAGAGAAACAGATTTATTTCCATAATTTATAGCTTTTTTTATTATTAGAAATCGGCCATATTGAATAATGGCCTGTCTGTAGGAGGCGTTTAAAACGCTCCTTCCACAGCGGATCAGGAGTATGCTATCTATATACTTGTATAATCTGTGTGGTTCCTCCCGTTATCGAATCCACCTGAATCCGCCCCGGAACTTGTTATGAACTTGATAATTTAGCGAAGAACAATGTCAATTAATCTGACGAAAAACAAAGATGCCTTGGTGGCGGCTTGGCACAGCGTGGTCGACGATAAATTGTCTACTAACTGGTAGGCGTATATTTAAATCTCGATAGTGTTTCCTCGATCCGGCGTGTAGCACCGAATCGGTTTCGGCATATTTGCTCATACACATCCATATATAAACGTTAAGTTAGCCGGTTATTTTCTGTCAGTATCGAGTTTACAATTCTGAATTCAAAAGTATACTCCGATACTGCATACTTTGATGTTTTGCATAAATATTGGACTAACTTTAAAAACTACTCCTTACTGTCCATCTATCTTGATTTTTATTTGCTTTTGAAATTTTTTTTTATTTGCTTTTGACAATTATTATGAAGCAGGCAAAAAGTACATTAAATATGTTATCTTTTATCTGCGTGAGATGGGTATTAAACACGTTTATTTATTTTTAATGAACAAAAGTGATAAAATAGTATAAGATTGTATGATTGTATTTAAAACATGAAGATAGAACTATATGATTGGCCATGTTCAAATTAGACGAAGCAGCTAGCTCACATAACAATTGAATGTGATTGATTGGATTTATAGATAAGAACTAATCATGTTTAATTGTTTGATACTTAACTGTTTTGTCAATTTAAAGCTAAAGTTACGATTTATTAATGTAAAATTTGATCATAATTTTGAGAAGGATCTGATTGTGCACATTGCTAATTGATCGATTTAATATAAAATATTCTCATGGGCAAAAAAAAGCAGTGAAAAATTATTAGGCACTGACTGATATGAGTGGATGTAGACTAAGTGGACTCTTATAATTTTGAAGAAAGATTTTACATTCAAATTTTACAATATATATCTCAAATATTTATAGGTATTACTCAATCGATTATTCTTTATAATTGGAAATTTAAATATTTTTTATTTTTGACAGGGCTGTGTTTGGCTACGAAGGACAGACCAATGACTTAAAAGTAGTTGGAACAGGAGATGGTGGATTAGAAGAGATGATTGATCGATTGAGTAGTAGTCACATCATGTACGCATTTTGCAGAGTTATCGACACTAAAACAAGTCTACCAAAGTGTTTGCTCATTAATTGGGTAAGTATGAAAAAAATATTTAGAAATTTATTTAATAAAACAATATATTTTGCATTTTTATTAAATTACAAAAAAACATGATCAGAACTTTCATGAATTTTATAATAACTTAAGCCTGCGACACACGATGCTTGTTTTCCTGTCGAATTGCTAACTGGATTAGAATCTTGCTACCGTATTGGCTGCGGTGTTGTCAGTGCCAGTATCACAGTCAATATGGTGGCAAAATTCTAATGTAAGCTAGCAATCTAGCAGGAAAACAAGCATCGTGTGCTGCAGGCTTTTGTTTGTAGAGACATTTGCTTGACAAAATATTTGCTTATAGCAAGGGGAAGGTGCTCCAATCGTTAGGAAAGGAACATGCGCCAATCACATTAGAGATATAGAAAAATTGTTGAAAGGAGCACATATAACAATTACAGCACGTTCCGAAGATGATGTAGAGGTAGATGCAATTATGGAAAAGCTTGCGCGAGCAACAGCCTCGGCGTATAAATTTAATGAACCTCGTAGTGAAAACGAAGGACATACAGGTCCTGTTGGAACAACATATCGCAGGTTTCTAATATTTCTATCTTGTGATTTTGGAATCGTTGATAGAATGCAATTCTTACTTAATGTATACTTTGCAGAGTGATCCCCGCACAAGAAATAAATGCAATGGAAAGGGATCAGTTTTGGGAAAAGGAAGAAATGGAAGAGAAAAAAAGATTGGAGCAAGAGCGAGTACGTTCTGAACAAGAGCGACAGAAATTAGAACAAGAAATGAGAGCTCGAGAAGAAAAGGAAACGCAATTGAGGGAGCAACAAGTATGTCTTAATCCCGTATATTTTTCATTTATTTTGATTTTACATATATATCTTATATGTATATTAAATATTATATACATTATCTAGATTCACACATATAAAATATTGTTTCAGGTAACTGCTAAGGAAAATTCAATCGCTCGTCAAAAGCTGGCCGAGCAGCGTGCCGAAGAGGCGAACAATTTACGCAATCAAAAAGCTGCTCAAAATTACAACAATGATGTTGAAGATGATCATAAATCGCGAAGTGAAGAATTACGAAGACAAAGGAGCAAAGAAACGCAACAATTGATCGCTCAAAGAACAATAAATGCTCGAGCGATATTTGAACAGAATTCGGCGGCTGGCCAGATGAAGACGGCTTCGGCACAACAATTTTTACCTAAGAACAATCATGTGGAGTCTATGAGAAAAGCGTTGGAAGAGGCTCAGATAAAAGACCAGCCTGATGTAAAGTCTCGCGAGGAGACACCAGCCGAAGCGAAAAAATCTACAAGTGCAGAAACAGTGACGATTTCTTCGTCCACAGTGCCTCAATCTCAAAATACCAATCAAGAATTGAAAACTACCACCAATCCGCAACCGGAACAAACGGCAGAGTCTAAGGAGCAAGTCACCGAAAATGAATTATACAATCAATTAGATGGCTCGTACTTATATTTCGATCCGAATAACGAGGGAATGAAAGCTAGAGCTTTATATGACTATCAAGCCGCTGACGACACAGAAATCACATTTGATCCTGGAGATATAATCACACATATAGATGCAATTGACGAAGGCTGGTGGCAAGGACTTGGACCTGATGGAACATACGGACTTTTCCCCGCTAATTACGTTGAAGTTATCGAGTACAACACAACATGATAAGATATGATTTTTAAAAAATTTATCAAGATCGTTTTCATTTTCTTCATAATTACATGAAACCACTTGTATGTAAGATCAGTATCAGCTTATCCCTGATAAATGTTATTAAGTTTCTAGATGTAAGTAAAATTGAACTACGTGATGAAATAATTCTGAATAATTAGAAGAAAATTTTGTAATTGAAACGCGAGTAGCATATAACAATTGAAACGCATGTCTTCGTACCATTTTCGCGCCTTCCATGTCATTGTTTTTTAATTTTAAAGCATTTACGCAAAGAGTGAGTTTACAGTTAGTGTAAAAATTCAGTTATAAAGATTTATCTCTTTGTAAAGAGATAATTGAAATGTTAATCATAACCAGTAAAATGTATGTCTTCCCAGCAGGTCATACAGGTTTTATCCACAATTAATCTATATTATATATAAACATATATCTTTTTATAACACCCTGTATCAGAAGCTGATATAGCAATAACTAAAATGCATCTTATACGTATGAACGCAACTGTGTTACTGCAAAACTGTAACAGCTACGTATTTAAACATTTATAATTTTTAGAATAAAAATATTTTAATTTGTTATAGTTTAACATAAAACTTGTTAATATTAAAGAACCCGCTTAAATGCAAGTTGCTTTTTCATTTTTTATATTAGATTTTTAAATGTTGATGTTATGTCTAAAAAGAAAAGCATGAAAATGCTTTTATTTATCGTTGAAACATCGTAAAAGCGGCAATTAACACATATTAGGTTGACACATATGATAAATTATTTTATTGTATAATAGAAATTTTTAAAGATAATGAGATAAAGTAGCATCACAATATCCATGTTACATAAATAAAACAAAGAAAATCATCTCCGATAATTCTGATTTTGTCCACCACCTCCACTTGCATGAATACTTGCATGGCTCAAAAATGCTAAATGACCTTTTGGACATTTATTGGCATAATGACCTTTTTGTCCACATTTGTAACACGTCACTTCTTCGAGTGGTTTTTGCGGCCCTCGTGACGGTGGTGGTCCATTATGTATATTCATATGATGATGCGATGAACGAGAATCATTGTCGAGCTCCTGTCTAACTTGAGCTTCCCGTACATCGGGTGGCATTTTGTTGCAATAGATCGCTTTATGACCTCCTTCTCCACAAAAGTGACAAGTAATCATAACTTTTTTGCCCTCCTTTGGTTGCATATCTTGTATTGCCGGTAATTCGAATCTTGGACTATATAAAAACAGATTACATTGCAAATACAGATTCGTAAGATTTAAAATAGATTTCTATAAAAGACTTACGTCTTTTGTATATACTTACTGCATAAATTTACAATTTGGTCCTTCTGGACAAAAACCTGCTAAATAAGCCATACATAGAACACGTCTGACATGCCGATGCCGACATAAGGGACCATGCCTACAAAAACCACGATCGTACCATGGACAATCTCTGACTTTTGTCTCTGGATCGATGTGTAAAAATGGACATTCTTTATTGTGACATGCATCTGTAATAATTTACTTTGTTTAAATATACTTTGATATATGTATGGTATGATGGTTGTACAATTTAAATATATAGAATGTTGCATATTTGAATCATTCAGATCATTTATATTGAAATGTTCAAGTAAAGGACTTATAGTAAAAGGAAAATAACTATAATATAAATATCAAGTTACTTACTGAATCTAGAATAAAAATAACATTCTGGCATTTTTGTCATATCATATTCATGTAGAAATTCACACTGATCACCCTTCTTGCAAAGACCTCTTAACCAATGTTTACATACTATCGTGCGATCGCCTCGAACATGCCTGAAAGGACACGAAGCTCCTTTATTACAACTGCCTTTTGGATAAAACTGACACACTGCGGCAATTGATTCTGTAAAATGAAGAGAGAAGATTATTTACTAAGAGTTTTATATTATTAACATATAAAATAGATCTATTATCTCTTTTAACGAAATCATACTGTATTCTCTAAGTACATAAGATACAGATTATTGCTTGTTACTCGAAAATTCCGATAAATGTTATTACTAAAGAGAAAACCGTTTAAAAAAATTTGCGATATTGACATAATAAAAAATAATTTGTATATATAATAAATTGAAATAGCCCGGATAAATATGACATTACGTTACGCAAACTTAACCTAACACAAGCAACTGCATAACACTTATATTGTGAAAGAACATACTGTCCATGCCGGTGAAAGGTAACGGAAGAGCACCATACTGTTCGTCAAGAGCAACTTCAATATCAAATCGCATATGTTCCACATTCGCTACTATACACTCCATTGTTATTGCAAGAATTTGAACAATCAAACACAAAACACTTGTGCCCCATTTAATCTGAAGCTGCCGAGATTGCTGCGTATAGCCAACATTATGCGTTCCAACGAAATGTCACTACAACCACGTGAAGTTGGTCCCGAGTTTGTTCCAGGGACGAAATTTCATTCGATTTCTTCTTCTTCACAGCATTTTGTATTTGTCTTGATAATGCAAAAGAATAAAATACAAAAATTATAATCTTATCGTTAAAACGTTATCATGACTAGCTTATTATTAACATGACACTTTGTAAGTTCATTTTTAAGTATTAAATAACATTATAATGACATCTCTATGTCTTAACTTGACTCTGTCTGTTCCACCTAGGAATTGATTTCCGATATTCATAGATATTAGATTTTTTCCGTGTGTTTGAAATCCCCAATAATTTTTGACAAAGCAAAGATTTTGAGTGCAAAAAGTGCAAGCAATTATACAAGCAGATTTATTAGTTCGATTCAAGTATATAAAAAATAATGGGCATTTTTCAGCAAGAATACACAGTATAACTTACACAGTGAATCATTTCACTGTGCATGCGAAAATGCTATTAATGCATGTAACAAAATAAATATGAAATTGCATTAATAATAAGAGAACAAAAAAAAATCTTTAATTTATGTGATATCTTTTCAAATACGCAATTTCTAATTATAATCCATTGTAATGTCAATGGTGGAAATATTGATCGCACGTTCGCACGTCTAGTTCAAAATGTTGCGTTATCATCAATATGTCATTGTAGAAATATTGCGAAAATAATGCGACTCACTTCTAGCTTGTTTCTAGCAATGTAAAAAGTAAGTTAAATTTTAAGATTAACTTAAATTCTAGTTTAATTTATTTTTTACCTTTTTCTAGTTCTAAGAATTAAAAAAGGGTATAAAAATCAATTAAACCGAGATTAAAATTAGTTTACATTCATTGGCAGATCCAGAATTTATTATTGAAGTGGATATATATATTGGTACTCCACAAATGAAATTTTTTAAAAGTCAAATATGAAAAGATGGAACATTAAATTATTATTTAAATTATTACATTTAAAAAATATTATTCAAATGTATAATTCATAAAACATCTTATTTAAAATTATATTAACACAAAAAAGGAATAATACGTATAATAGAATATATATGTTTTTTATATCTAAGAGTTTCTAAAATTAAAAAATATTTTTGAAATTTACAAAATCAATACAAATATTTAATTTGACCTTTGGCTCTCAGATTCGTTAAAATAAATTATAAAGTGAAATGAGGGCAATTGAGAGCAAACACAATTAACTACAGCGTATATCTATTAACATATATTATTACATAAAAGTAATTATTTTATACATAGTTTCTTAGTTAACAATACATACGAACGTTTCGACTTATACTTAAACCATCCTCAGCGCATACAACAGTAAATTGAAGTCATGGATTCTTGGTGGTTCTGAGTTAATTGTACAATTTGAACGTTGAGAAAGAACTCCTTAACAGTGTTCAAATTGTACAATTAACTCAGAACCACCAAGAATCCATGACTTTAATTTACTGTTGCATACGCTGAGGATGGCTTAAATTTAAATATAAGTCGAAACGTTCGTATATATTGTTAACCAAGAAACTACGTATAAAATAATTATTTTTACGTAATAATATACGTTAATAGATAAATGCTATAATTAACTGTGTTTGCTCTCAATTGCCCTCATTTCACTTTATAATTTATTTTTGGCAGGGTTGGG